TAGACCAAATCAGTSCCTCAATATGTTTCTAGCTTGGAAGAGGGCTCAGTTACACAGAAACCTTTAAATTACTATAAAGGACATTTAAAAAATAGAAATGGTTCTGCCATCTGATCCAATGCTGATCACCCATTACCAAGCTGCTCAAAAGTAAGTGCTGTCCATGACAAGCTACTTTAAGGGGAGAACAAGATAGATATGCAAAGGATTCCCACCATTAAAAGATCRTAATATCAAGCAAGTTATTGAAATAACGTGTGTGTAAATGATGGACAAAGGCAGAAAGGCTGAAGGAATCTTATAGAAATAGGATTCCAGAAAGGATCCTGGCGAAGAAGATGGGCCTGAATGGAGGGAGCACTGAGGCTTATCTACCCTCACTGGACACCAACTCACTGCATGCACTCTATATGGATACTYAATTCCTTTAGCTTCCAGCATGATTAAGACTGAGAAATTTCCTGCATGTGAATATATATGCATGACTTGGGGCTGAAGTGCTGTCTCAAGAAAACCACCCAAGTTTGTTTAAAATTCGATCAGCTCAGTAGGTTGTTCCCTCCCTGCCTCCCCATCAGTGGTTATACTTTAACCATGTATGGAAGAGATTTYAGAGGTCTGAGCCATTAAAACCTACAGAGAATAGAAGAACTTGGCAAATATGAAAGAAAAGCATTTAAATGGCTCTGAGACAGTCTGCTTCCCCTTGCTACTGAAAATGTGATAGATGTGTTGCCATTTCTAAGTAGGAGTTCACGATCTCACGTTTTGGACAAGTCTATAAACTTCACTACACAYAATGTGCCCCCAAAACTGTTTGAAAACAAATTATCACATGAAAACCTACAGGAAATCTTTTCAACTTATTAAAAACAACAAAACAAACACACAAAACCCAACACAAACAGAAAAAAACCCCTACTCCCCACCACTTAAAGTAGTAGTCTTGTGTGTTATCTGCAGACAAGCTTCTTGCCAAGTATTCTTGTACATGCCAAAAACTATGGTTATTTTTGGATAGTTTTTTTATTTACAACCCTTTAGTGTGCATGAAACAGTGATGTTCTGCCATTTTTAAGAGTTGCTGATCACATGAAAACCTCTRACACGTCTCCTCTCACAGCACATGATTTATGGGGAGAACATTACAGCAGTCTTTCTGTTCCCTATAAGAAACAGATATTTATGAAAGTCCTACACAATACTGAGAAAAGATCCAGGATACAGGAAATGTTGCGTAGAAGCTTACACAATGATAAGACATTACCCAGAAGMATGTGGAATTTACCATGGACAACATCCTGCTCTTGGTAGTACACTAAGATGCAAATAGAATTAATGATGTTTCTCCCCTTCCTCCCTATTTTAGAAGACTACCAGATTTGCCTTTAGAAATACAAATTTTCTGATGACTCTCACTTTCAAACCTTTTAGGATGTTCCCATTCAGAGAGCTGCTAAGTAATCACAATTCAGTGTGATATCTCCTCTCTGAAGAGAATTCAGGGGGGCTCAGATTCTCAGAGCTCATGGATGAACTGGAATTCAGGAAATCTAAGCTTTATTCATAGTGTTCTGCAATCACTGCACTAGAAAGCAGCGTCACATTTTCTCAATTAAAAAACAGAACTAAATCCACCAGTCTCCTTTTCAAACTCTTAAAAACTTGATCAATACCCTATAAAAGCTTTGCACATCTACCACTGTGTTATATGCTCAGTCCCTTCATCTGAAAACAACCAGATTTTGATATTTATTACATTTATTTTTCATACTCCCCTGGAATATTCCAGACAATAATTGCACCAATTCAACCACAGGATCATTATTCAAGAGCAGAGACTTACTACTGTATCAGCCTGAAATAATAGATTCAAATGCAGTTAGTCCAGGTCTCAGTTCTGTTGCTGCAAATCCAGGTCATGGCCCTCATCATGGAATCTGATCCATGCCACTACTTGCAACCATACAGACCCCAAACAGGCAGTGTGCCTCTGTCCTATCACAAAACAATTTAGGAAGTGTAACATAAATATCCCAGGTTCTAAGTGATTCCCAGTGCCATTTGATTTCTGACAGCATCATTAATGATTCCTTTACTTCAAAGAACCCCACCTCCCTAACTACCTTCCTGTCCTACCCCACCATCCTGACTACCYGACATGAATAATTTGGGAAGAATGAGAATAGTGTGTACATTGAAAGAGAATAAGAGAATACTGTGTACCTTTTTATTACTTCATGGATGACAGTCTTTCTATGCATACTATCCACAAAGTACATAACTAAAGACAATTAGTATTCTATTCTTCATAAAATTCATTAATTTCATAAAATCTTTAAATTATCACTTCCACATCATGCAGAAAATCACATATTTAAATAACAGACAAGCTCTGTGTGACAGATATGACTCTATCATGAAAGAGCTTTCAGTGGTTCTTTAATTCAACATATGCCTTTTATATGGATAAATATAGATGACGTAGTTACCTGAAATAATGTTTTCATATTTCAATATTTTTACTACAGCATTACCAAAAGGTCCAGTCAAATCCTATACCTAATGTGCCAGGTGTATGTAAGACCAGACACCTTATCAGACTAGTTTACAGCCAATACAAACAAAGCATCATTGCATTCACAGGTGGGGAAATTTAATGCAAACGGATCACATAAAATAGTAGAGATCACACAGAGTTAGATATTAAACTTGCTCCTCTTTGTGAGCTCCATTTCACTGCCAAARCTCATTTTCATCTGCCACAAGGGACACATGACAAGGCTGCTGTACCCAATTATGCCTCTACAGAGTTACTTCTGTCACTTGTTGGCCGTGGACCATAGGTGTGCAAGACAGTAAATTATCATATGATGGCCATATAGAGAGGATATTTTACATAAGAAGAGACCACTCCGTCACCTCAAAGGAGTCTCAAGGGAAATCTCCCCTGTATAACAGGCAGTGAAGTCTCTACAAGGTGCTTTAAAAGCATTAGTCACACTCTGGGTTCTGGCTCTTCCTCTAAATGACTACCGCCATTGAACTGTTCGCCTTAGAAAGTTGTGAAGCAACAAATTTTGTTATTTAAATGTCAATTTTCTRTTCTGGAAAAACTTAACAGTAAACTGAGTCATGGTGTTTAGTGCTGTTCAGCCTCCTGAGCTCAAACCGTTAGCAGCCATCCCAAGTCACTGATGGGGGAACTGGGAAAGCAGTAATGGATGCTGCAGAGAAGGACTCCTCTTCACTTGGGTGCAGCAGTAGGCAGCCCTTTATGTGCAACAATATATAATGCAGCTCCAGCCTTTCAGAATGAGCATAAATTACTAAGCAAGATGATGAATACCATAAAGGAACTGTTAAAGTTGAAGTCAATCATGAGAAAGAGACAGGGTTCCTATCTTCAGGTATCACATAAATCTGGCTAAATCAAAGTGGTTTTTTCATCATCCTGGTTTTACTGTAACCTCTCACTGCTTAATTTAATCTTGGTTTTCCCAACTAGAAAAAAGGGGCTCTTCATAGCCTAGAGCTATGCCAGAAGGAAGTCCAGATTAGCTGCAGTTTTAATTTCTTAAAACTACAGCATGAGGAAGAACCCCAGTACCCAAGAGCAGTTGCTGGGCTCTCTCCACAACACAGGCTACTGGTGGCCATAGGAAAATCAGCAGCAGTCACAGCCTGTTATGGGGAAGCAAAGGCCATTTGCTGCCATGCCAGTCTCAGGTGAGGTGAATATTGCAAGGACAGATGCAGGTGATTACTGGAGTAGAATAAAATTGGAAGATGAGAGTGAAGATCCTGCCCTTGCCATAAAATCCAAGCACCTGCATGCTCACAAATACGCAAACTTTTAAAATAAAAGGAATTCTTCCATACTTATGCCAGAATAACTAAGAAAGACCTAACCCTAGGTCTCATTCAATGTGTTTGAAATGTGCTACTAATTATGGAGTCAAATCATCAGCTTTGAGTCTGTGCCTAAAATGTTCCAGCTGCAGCTGAGAAATCTAGAATCAAACCCAAACTTTGAGTTTTAAATGCTTAATGTCATCCTTGACTTTCTGTTAAATTAAAACAATAATTTAAGCCACAAATTAATTAGGTTATTAAGCAGGATTGAAATTGAGCCCATCTTACTCCCAATTTTAGTAAAAAGAATCTCAACTTGAATTTGTGGTTTATGCATGGCATCTCTTTTACTTTTGTTTCAGGATATTCATTTGGGGAAATTTAACAGGCAAGAGATGCCTATCTGAGAATGGAATTGATCAGGAATGTGGTTACAACAGAAAGAATTTCAGCAGACCATAAAAGAGAAAGAGAAGAAAAAAGAAAAGCCTACTACAAGAATAGTCCAGCAAAATACAACTGTAGTGAGTTTGGGCTGTTTCCCAGTACTCCAGGGGGAATTCTGCTATTTGCTGAGTTTAGTGAATGTAATCTATTGCAGAAGGGAAAAAAAAAGTGCCGCTGCTTTCACCATTTTCTCAGTTCTGCTTCATATGAGGAATCATATGAAAGACAGAAAAATTATTGTATTGCTGTGAAAGCACATAGAAACTTGCAAAGCAGATGTTCTCAGCACACATAAGAGGGACTGACTGGACACTGAATAAAACTACACAACCAGAATGAAAAAAAATAAAGTCACTTGGCGGGCAGAGATGGATCAAGAAATAGGGGGCTCAAAAAGTAGCTCAGAAATAACATCTGCAGTGGTAAGTCAGTCTCATTTTGTTAAACTGGGAATCAATACTTTTCACTACACTTCACAGACAACACCATTTGAGTTACTTTCCCCCAAGAATCTCAGTATGCAACTTTTAGGAAATTAAAAATAGTTCAGAACATACACAGTTAACAGGAAATATAAAATGAAGTAAYTGAAACAGAATCTACCTCCAAAACCAGCAGATACTCCACAAGTTATTTATAGCAGAAAATTTATAAGAGATTGGAAAGGTCTTAAACCTTCTGAAGTTTTAAATACTTACTTCTTGCAGCCAAAATCACATCACTGGAATATCCAGGAAAATTTTTTAAAGATTGCATTAAGGAGCTTAACTAGCTGAGAACACGATGTAGCCTTTCCTTTGGACCGTCCAGCCATAGGCATTTACTCATTCAACAGAAGCACAGAGCGTGATACTGTAGTGCAGCCTTTTACATAGGGATACCAAAGAGGGGGTAGGGAGGGGAAAGCCCTTCCCCAAAGATTTTAGTTCAGCCCACTCATTTAAATACAGAGTGGAAACAGCTGCTGTAGAAAGGAAGAGGATGTCCAGGCAATTTTTTGTTAACTTTCTTAGGTGTAAACACATTTCCCTCTGAAGTCTCAGTAAGAAAAAGAATGTTTCTTTTGAATTTCATTCTTCCTCTGCACTGCTTTTAAAGAAAGTAACTCTAGCTCCACTTAGTAATAACAGTGCATAGTCAGCTCACTTACATCTCACTAGGGGAAAACAGATTCCTAATAAATCTCCATCTCCACTGTGCAAGCTCTAATACAAGCACAAGTGAGTTTTATAACACTTAAGTCTTCACGCAATGTAATATTCATCTCTAACAACTTCCCACCAGGAGCTCCCAAGCAAACAAGTATGAGCTCACTGAGAGCAACATTTAAAACTGATAGCATGCCTCTTGCATATTAGCACCTCAAAGTTAAAACTAGATAAAGAACAGAGGAAGGAGGTAAGAACAATGAAAGCTCATCAGCTGTTTGACAGCGAGACATTGAATAAACAAGGATTCTTCAATCTGAGGAAGAGCTGGCAGAGGGTTGATGAGACAGTGTGCTATTAAATCATGAAATGCACCCAAAAAGCTAATCTGGGAAGGGCAGCCCATTCTTTCTCGTAACAAGAACTAAGGTGCACCGAACCCAATCTTCAGGCAGAAGTTTTAAAACAAACAAAAGTAAGTGATTTTTCACATCATGCATAGAAGGATTTCAAAGCTCATTGCCCAGGATCTTAYGGAGGACCATTCTGTGAGTAAGCTTAAAATATTAGATTAAAAAAATGAAAGAACAGTCCTAATCCTAGAATTCTTGTTCTGGAGAGCTATTAACCACAAGTTAGAAGGTGTGGATCTCTCAGGTATGGTAGCAATTTGAATTTGCCCTCTACATTAATCCTTCCCCTAAACCAGTGACATTGACCACTGCCAGAGCAGCAGACAACATTAGAAGGATCTTTGAGCCACAACTGTGCCCATTCTCATACTCCCATTTATCTAGTTTTCACAATGCTCCTTAATGAGAAATTGTCAGYATCATTAGGTCCAGTTCATAGATGAGGAATTAACTATGTACATAAGGCCCAAAGTGGCACAACTCTTTGGAAATTTTGACTGGTAGCCACAATTCAGAAGTTAGGTACTATCCTTTGTCATCCTGAAGTGACTTTCTACTTCTAAACGTCAGCACCCGTTCAAACCTCTGCACTTGTGACTGTTCCCTACTCATTCCACTATGCCTACTCCAGTGTAATTGCTTTCATGAGTGAAGTTATTCACCAACAGGAGTTTTCCCACAATTATTTCAGCACCTATTACTCCTATTTTCTGCTATCTCTTTGCCTATAGTTATAAAAACTAATGTATACTGATAGTGAAATCTTATTGTAGCAAACCTATTATAAAGACATATGTGCTTTTTATGTATAATTAAATAGCATTTTTTGATGTAAGGTAAGCTGGCTGTTCTTAGAGCCCCAACTAGCAAATAYATTGTGCAATCAAGGTTGTTGTTTTGTTGTTTGCTTTTTTTAAAATAAGAAACATACTTTAAAAATACTCTCATAGTTGCCCTTATGTGGTAAAAAGGGTAACTGCCCACTGACCTTGCTGGTACAACAGCAAGTATCTTGAGAAACAAGGTATTTTTATGCAAAATAAGTAAATTGACTTGAGATCCTTTTCATATCAGGTCTGAGAAAAGCGGGCAGAAACTCTGTTTCCYTTCTCTGCTCCTAATTTTAAACAGGGGCTTCAAAGCTGTTTGTCTCTGTGTGTTTAATGTTTCCTGGAGGCCTGCAAAGGCATGCAAAATATTTTAGTTCAGGGCCTCTATAGGGTTGTTATAGGAAATCGACCTCTCCCTTGAAGGGACGGGTTAGTATGGAAACAGATTATCTGAATGACAGCAAAGCCATAAGTGTTTATTTCAAGGGGAAGGAAAAGACAGACAAATATTTACCGCTTTCTGTCCACATCGTAAAACACAGACGCTGCCCATTTTTGGTTACTTCTTGTCTAAGTAATCCCAGTTGCCATCTGATCCTGTTCTCTTGATCAGGATTTGTCTTCATGTTAAAAGAAAGTTCTGATGCCATCTTTGACATGCACTTCCTTTAAGCTGCAGAAATGCTTCACGAAGAGAAAGATGGTTTCTAAAGCCTAGGCTGGCCAAGACTTTATGCTTGTACAAGATATGTGGTCACCAGAAATAAATCACAGACTTTGGTCTACCTGAGAAAATGCACGTTTCCTTTGTAAGGCTTCTCATGATGCTGAATTAGCCTTTTGGGAAAATTCTGACTGTTTCAGTGCGAACAGGTTGAAAAATGGTGGAGACACAAATGTAAAGAAGGGTTTGCTTATTATTGCTATCTTGTCTCTCACTTTGCCAAACCTGAAGGGTAAGTGCTAGCYCCTCCCATCAGGGTAGAGGACGATAGAACAAGAACAGATGTTTTCTTTCCTCTTGCAGAGGTCCGAATCAAAAATCTTAAGGTCTTAATCTTTCATCCATTTGTGGCAGTAAACTTTGATTCCAAGTCTCCTATTTCTGACAGATCCATCCTTTTCCCCTTTCACTTTTTTATGTACCTAYTGCTAGAGAACCAGCAGAACTAAAAGTAACTTTGGGACAATTTACCTTTCTTAGGTGCAGTTTTACTTTCCCTGTTTCAAGACTTGACTGAAACTGATGAGATCTCTCTTCCCTACCCATTCTTTCCTCTTTTAATTAAAAGTTGTATGGTAAATCAAGAGGAATCAAGTGGGGCTTAGAGCAAATCCTACTGTCTTTAGTTGCAACTACACCTCTTATATAAGAAGACATTAAGGAAAAGACTGATGGAGTGAGTGCAGTAGGTGCAACTCAGTGGAATGCTGTTACCGAAACAATAGCCAAGAGGCAATCATGTATTCTGTTCAGTAGACAATGAGAGATCAATACCAGTGGGTCATGTTCTGGGATGCTTCTGTATGCACAGGCATTCCTTCTCACAAAGCAACTTTATCAAAATCCCCTAAAAGAAGCAGAGCTGGATAGGAAGTCCCTTAGGTGTTACAGAGGAAAATGGTCATTCAATAAATGCCATTTTCCTCTGAACAAGTACCTTAGCACAAAGCATTCAAATAAGAGTGTTTTTAAAGATCAGGAAAGTTGCTACAGTGTTTGAAGGTGCAAATGGATAACCTTCAGCAGGCCCAGTTGATGAGAGTTACACCTGTGTTAAAAAATGAAACAGCATAACAAATTATTGCAGCAACTGCAATCCAACAAGATTTTCTGTGCAGCTCCTCAGAGTGTCCATCTTGTTTCATTTTAAAAATACATATTTTAAAAAGTAATAATGCAAGTTTGGGATGCCAGGGAATTTCTCCSAATTCTGTTTTCTTCTTACCCTCCTTTCCATTAAGTGGAGCAAAGAGATGAAAAGGAGAGCAAAGCTATTTAGATTAAGGAAGAGGAAAACAGAAAGGAGAACAGTTTTTCAAGGAAAGGAAGGGATTTCAAAGCTCAAAAGTGAAAACTTTCTGTCTTATTCTGAAAACATGATGCAGTTATTCCYGACACTAAAATTGAAAATCTTCTTTTGCCACATTTTGTTACACAGTTTGCATCACCAATTGTTTCCTTCTGGAAACATTCACAATTATTTCAAGTTCAATATTGAGAARGAGAGGGTAGTTGCACTATAAATGGACTAGATGGCCAAATGCATCAAAACAAAAACCTTTATCTTCTGGTTTTGTAATGGCATGTACTTTATTACTAGTGATGGTACTACCTCTGGAAAATTCACAGTGATTTTATTAATACCTCTAATTACTAACTTAGAATAAATAAGATTAACTTTGGCTTTAGGTTATTTTTTTCTATTTAGGTTGCTTTTTTCTATTACATAAAAAAGGAGTTCATGGGATCCTTCTCAAATTCTGCCCCATTTGACTTTTTCAAGCCATTTCTATTGTCTGTCTCAAAAATCAGCTTTGTGCTTCCACAGAGACAAAGATAATTGAAAAGCTGTAGGTGTACAATATCTATCCTGACTGATCTCTCAACACAAATCCCTAAAAAGGGGTAAAGGGCTACTRATTTTCAACTAGCATCTGTAGGCAAATCAGTAGGCCTCAGACACAACTCTAGATTCTAAACGGAATACTCTAGGATAAGCTCTCAGTTCCCACTTTCAGCTAATATGTACTAATACGTTCCTCATACATTCCTATCTTTTTAAAGAAATAAGCAGCTTCTCAATAGAGAGCAGCAAGTTGTCCATGCCCAGCATTTTTCATGACCATGAAAGATAAAGTTCATGTTGACTGAGGTCACCATAAACTGCAAGGCTTAATCTGAWGTACCATGGGATATTTTAATGCCCACCCTGAGCAAAGGAAGTTCACATTTCTCAGGATCCAATAAAAAAAAAAGCATATGCTTTATGGAACAAAAATGAGATTGAACTAACTCAGAAATCTGGTCAGCTGAGGCAATATGATCAAGCATCTTAGATGCTGAACAGAAGCTCAACAGTCTCMATCTGTACACTGGATCATGAAGCCTCTCCCTTCCAGCTCCCTTCCCCACCCACCCTGAAGAATTCTGCTCTGGGAGTGGCTTTTCTCACCAGGGAAGCGAAACTTYCCTTTAATGTGGCTCATGGAAAGTTTAGCTGGTTTTCTTTCTCCAGCCCACCTAGGCTGGAAAAAGACATTACTTCCAACCAACATCCAGTGTAGTAACTGCCCATCTGTAGACAGTTCTTTTCAACTTGCAAGGAAGCAATCCCACAATTACAATTTCTTGTGTCTCATTATGGAAATGGTRGGGTAGCACTACCACAGAAAGAGCTGTACTGGAATTGTTTGGGCATAGTTACTGTAAAAGCACTTTGAGATGTTTTCATCCAAAAAAAA